GGTCTAACAAGCCATGTCGATAGGCTATGGATAAACAATACACGTATACGCGTTACGCGTACATGTTGTGTGATTAATGCGTAAATATAAAGAAATTTTAAATAAAACTTCACTAACATGAGAATCAACAAATGCTCACAATGTAGACATTGAATATTAACATATTTTAGCTTCTTGACGCGAGAATTATGCTAATACAGCAATACAGCATAGCGAATATATTAAAATATCATATGTCAGACAATCATTAACAACACCGATGGCTTGGTACTCCGGTTTATAAACCTTTAATATGAACTAAAGATACATCACTATAAAACCATAAATTTATCTACCTTATTGCAGTGCAAGCTTTGTCTTTCTCTAGCAGTAGCTCTCTGCGCCAAAATTTCTAGCGAGGCTTCTGCTTGTGTTGTTGATGGCGCCGCTCAGTAGCTTGTCAACAAAATTCGTCCGTGAGGCATCGATATTCTTTTCAAGCTCCATATACAAACGTTGTATAGAGATTCCAAATTGTTTGCCGCAATCGCAAACTGAACATTGTCGAAAATGTTTCCAGATATCGCTGGTAGAAATCGCTCGTAATAGTAAACGTTCGAAATAGTAAACACTCAAAGGTACCTGCGCCGTTGTCGTTGTATAAATTTTTGGCGGCAAAGTTTATAAATAAAGGTAAACACTAATGCGGTGTTGACGAATACCTCACGTTGCGAATCCGTCGAAAATATAAGCCAATGACAGTGCAGTATTTTTTTAAATGGTTCAATCAGAAGGCTCATACAGAGCCCCTGAATCTGCAAATCCGTCAGGCCTCCCCACAGATCCGTCGCAAATGGCCGTAACCATGGAAATGAGCATGTCAGCCAATCAGAAAGCCGGATTTGACCCCCGAATCCGTCAACTTTCATGCGTAAGACCGCTGTTCGTGACTGACTAACATTACTTTGCCGAAGCTCTGCCGCAGCATGAAACGCATAACTGGACTACCGGTACGATTCAAATTTTAGTAACTCGATCTACTGGCCACTATAGATAGCTGGAGTCAAATTTTTTTAAGTAGGCAATTTTTACTTCAGTCGCGCGACTGATTTGACGACCCCTAGATCCGCCCCTGGAGGAGTTGTAGACTAGTTTACAACCTGAAGCAAAGGTCAACTGCAAAGTGAACCGAAGAAATGTTTCTCACGCGGCATGCTTTAAATTTGAAAGATTCTTTTGCGAAAGACATTCAACAACGACTATCATAGAATCCTATAACGCATTTTTTATCGTCTGACAACTTGTTGTTTGGGCAGCAAAAATCGCAAAACACAACATGTGTTGAATTCAAAAATCCGGGCGGGCATTGATACTTTCCCAAACGTTCGTTTAGACTGATATAAACCAAATATAATTTGTCAGTCTTCACAACAACTGTTCACTAGCTGACTAGAAGTTATGATTAAATGTTGATATGCTCAAAAACGGCCCTGTACTTTTCGCAGAAAAGGGTTTGGAATCGTGTTATGGAAGGACGGTAGGATGTCAGCCGCCCCGGATACTTTTCGTTAAGATTCAAATTTCATGTAGATTCAGATTCTGTTTCAGATTCGAGCTGAAACAGCGTTAGTCTGCGTAAATCCTTCAACCACAGCAACTGTATTAAACCAGCAGATACCGCAAAGAAGGACATTCATCTCCATTATTGTGCGCTTTATTCTGTCTGGTTCTTTTTGCGATTCGGCAACGCATGTGCGCAGGGAAAATCGCAAAGGATTGCTATTATTATACGCACTGAGATTGTTATTATGAAATTTGCATCTGAAACAATAAAATCCGGGGGGTTCACATCCTATCGTTCTTCCAAAGAACGATTCAAAGCCCTTATTCCGCGAGAAATATTTGCCTAATTTTAAAGTATTTTAAATTTGACCATAATTTACAGTCAACTGGTGAAGATTCACTGAGAAGGCAAACGAAACTTCGCTTATATAAGACTAAACGAAGTGTGATGAAAGTCTTAATGCCCGCCCGGATTTTCGATTCCAACAGCGGTTGTGTTTTGCGATTTTTCCTGCCAAAACAACAAGCTGTTTGAAAATAACAACTGCGTTGTATCATTTTGTGATAGTTGTAGATGAATGTCTTTCGCAGACGAATATTCCAAACTAAAGGCTGCATTCCAGTTACGTGTTTTTTCATACGTGCGTACACGCACGTAAAAGTTGAATTCGCTTTACATCCTACTTATGAAATAACTAAATTTATAAAAGGACAGCATTCAGTTTTGTGTATGATTTAATGTGTATTTGTTAAGGTTATTTGCACTTATATGAAATTTTAAGCGAATTCAAGTTTTACGTGCGTGTACGCACGTATGAAAAACGCGTACCTGGAATGCATCCTTAAGAGAAGTGTTTATTTAGTCTCGGCTGCGTTGTCGACATTCGCTTCAGGTTACAAAAGCCGTGTCTCATGATCTACGATTTGCGATTTTTCCTGACAAAACAACTAACGTTTTTAAGACCTAGTTTTCTTTATGCAATCTACTATAGTGTACTAATGAATGTCTTTCAGAAATTAGGGAACTACACGCGTATTTTGCGATACACAGCGAAAAATAATTTTGCCGACAGCTCAGATTTTTCCTGGCTTCACATTATGAGCTAAAAATTAAAATATAGTTTTGTCAAATGCACAATATTCTGAAGATGGATGTGCTTGACGAATTACGTTTATTCCGTGAAAAGAGGCAGAGCAATTCCACATTTTATACGCGACAATTGACCCCGTTTCAGATTCAAATATGAACATGAATCTGAATTTGAATCTGAAACTTGAATCTGAAACTGTAGAGCGGATCGTCGCTGGAACGATGTGAAGGCAAGGGGGCAGATTTTCGTGAAAGGGCACTTTTGAATTGATATATACTAAGAGATGTTTGCAAAACATCGGGAGTTGAACTTCGCCCAATCATGTTTTCTATTTATTGGATGGTAGGTAGGTAGGTAAAACTTTATTTAAAAAAACACGCTAACCCCTTCAATACAAATTGATTTCCAAGGGGGGCGTGGTGAAAAAAATTAAAACACATAATAAACAACAAGACACGTTTATACAAAGTTAAATATTTACAAACTAGTAGATCGTGACAGGCTAGTTGCACATAAAAGCGAGTTAAAAATTCCTAGGCTTTCCGCGTTTCTAACTTCAATAGGTAAATCTTTCCACAATTTAACACCATTGAAACTTATACTCTTTTTTAAATATTCCGTTTTAGGAAAAGGAAGATTCATTTTTGAGCTTCATGTCAGAATTACGTAAATTGTAGTCATGAGATCTGACAACTGAAGCACTAGAAAATATTTCAGTAAGCGCAGTAGGTGCAAAACCATGAATAGTCTTATACATGAGTCTGGCTTTAGATTCAAATCGACGTTTCTTAAGTGTTTTCCACCCGAGCGCAGTCAAAGCAACTTCTGAGCATCCGTGCTCATTTGGGTAACCCATAATTATTCTTGCTGCCCGATTTTGAAGAGTCTGCAATTTATCAGATAAAACACTGCCAATCGGATCCCACACCTCACAACAATAATCAAAATATGTTTGAACTAAAGCGTTGTAGACAGAAATAAGAGTATTTCTGCATACAAACGGTTTTAACCTAGAAATCGCTCCAATGCCACTAGGAATTTTCTTTGTCAATTTCTCAATATAGAAATCCCAGGAGAGAAATTGGTCAATATGAATTCCTAGAGACCCAGTCACTATCACTCGGTTCAAAAGTTTACCATAAACAGAAATACAAGGATTTTCAACAAGATTATTGATGCTGTGCCTGGATCCTATTAGCATATATTCCGTTTTGCTAAGGTTCAAACAAAGTTTATTAGCCATTAGCCAATCGTTAACATTATTTAAATCATGATTCAAAGCAGACGAAATTTCATGTGTGGATTTGCCACACACAGCGAGCGTCGTATCATCTGCAAACATCCTCGGTGTACAGTATTTTAAACAATTAGGCAGATCGTTAATATACACTAAAAAGAATAGTGGCCCAAAATCGATCCCTGAGGAATTCCACACTTAATCGGTTTAGAATGAGATAATGTACCATTTATAAAGCATTTTTGTGACCGATTTGTTATGTATGATTCAAGTAACCCCGATGAATGCCGTTTTACCCCATACATCAATGGTATCAAAAGCTTTTTTAAGATCTAAAAGAGCAACAATATTAAGCAAACCTTTATTCATATTTGAATACCATTGATTAGTGCTATCAAGAAGAGCCGTAGTTGTAGAGTGATATCGTCTGAAACCGAATTGACATTTCGAAAGTATGCTAGCATTGGATAAATAGCCATGTAGTTGCTCATAAAGTATACTTTCAAAGGCCTTGCTGATAGCTGGAATTATCCAACAAATTTTTGGGACCTTTCTTATGAAGAGGTATAACCTTGGCTACCTTCCAATCGCGAGGAAAGACCCCATTCTGAATTACATAATTAAATAATTTAGTCATAGATGGCACTATAATGGCTATAGAAAGTTTCAATACATTTATTGGAATTTTATCAACTCCGATTGCCTTAGAGGAGGATAAAGCATGAAATGAATGTAAAACTTTATCAACAGATACAGTATCAAACTCAAAAGTCGTGGATGATTTACTTATGTATGAACTAAAGTGAGTATTTCCAGAATCAACGGAATTTGCAATTTTGTCTCCGATAGTAGAAAAATATTCATTGAAAGTCTCAGTTATTTCATTAGAACCAGAAATAATATTATCATTTTGTCTAATGCTAGATATAGAGGATTTATTATGGCCTCGCCCAAGGATTCGATTTATAGTTTGCCAACTTTCTTTCGGATTATGTTTGTATTTATAAAGCAAATTACTATAATATAATTGCTTATCCTTTTGTAAAGTGCATGAAACAACGTTTCTGGCTGTCTTGTATGCATTCCAATCTAAAGTGGAATTGGATTTTATTGCCTTCAATTTAAGTTTATCCCTTTCAAACATTAATTTTTTAGAATTTTTATTCAACCAAGGGTTATTACTTCGGGTTCTTACTCTTTTCATCCTAGGAGGGGCATGCACATCAAGAACTGCCAGAAACAAAGTTTTACACAAACACCATTTAGAGTCTACGTCATCTTCACTGTCTAAAAGATCCCATGGCTAAGATAAACAATCTTCTTGAAATCTGCTGGGATTAAAATGTTTAAAATTTCTAATTTCAACAGTCTGAGGTGGTGTGATGGGGTGTGAGGGGGTTCTCCACCAGGCGATTGTGCTATTTTTGAAGCTCGATGACTGGATTTCTTGCGTTTTCTGAAGCAAATTCGTAAAAGAATTCCACTAATATTTCTGACAATTCGCTATTTCGCCATGGAAATCCTTTAAATTGAAAGGGCACCTTTGCCCCCCTTGCTCCTCCTGGTAGAGGGCAACGGGGGGGGGGACGGCTGCCCCTCCTGCCCCCCCCCAGTTCCGGCGTCCCCACTTGTCTGAAAGTCATTTGCTGGGCTTTAATTTTCATTTTTAAATTACTTTTTCAACACACAGTATTCAACATACACAGGCGATGACGATTCAACAACAAAAAGCTATATTCACCAGCAGGTTCCTTACGGAGTAGAGAAATTCAGCGACATTATTCACATGAAACGGTATCTGACAACCAGGTCATACAACCTCAGCAAAACGGCCGAATTCACAGACTGTTCACCATTGTCATCAAAAGTAATTGAATATCTGGTCAAATGTCTTTCCATTGTAATCGGCCAAAACAAAGGAGATCCAAAGTCCATGTAGTCATCAATGAAATGTATTTCCCCTGATGCATTTGGCGACCATTCCTGTTGTAGTGGGTCATGGTGTGGATGGAAACAAGATTCTTCCAATTACAGGCATGCCAACCATCCATGAAAACGATTTGCATGGACATCCATTAAAATCTGCCCTTGAAGATAACTTTCTCATGCTGCAAACTCGCAACGAAATGAGTCCTTCAACAGTACTGTAGGCTCAAAGAATCCAAAAATTCGATTCTACGGAGGAAGTGAGAGCAATTATTTCCGGCGTGTCGCCTGTGTAGTGGCTCAAACAAATTCTGGATACCGTTATGTCTGCAGAACTCTAGAAGCCTTGGGGATAGATCCAGGCTTGACTTGAATCAGATATACCCTAGAAATGAAAAAAAGAAAGACAAGGATTGTCAAAGAAGAATTCTCTTGAATATAAAAAGCGTAGAAACCAGCTACATACCAAGAGAATCCAAGGAATTGCAAGAAAGGAAAAACGGGAGAGGAAAACGTATGAAACAAATATTGGCCTTAATATCGACCAAACAACTGGGCCTACCGCAATTGACCATCAAATCAAATAAATTTCTCGTTTGTTTGATGACCATATCTCTGTGGAAACTTTAAAAAGCTATGAAGTGGCAGTTTCATCCTTTACCCCCGACCAGTATGTCCAGCTATGATATATGAAAGCAAGGTATTTTACAACATCATATATGACACAGAAACAAATACTACAGGCAAAGCTGCCCAGTTGTGTCAATTGTCACCTATCGACAAATCTGGTCATAATTCGTTTTCAGAGTATATTTTGCCCACAAATGACATTGATAAACATGCTTCAAGAGTAAACAAACTCTCGGTAAAAACTCTGAACGGGAAACGAACACATCCAACCATTAATTTAAAGCAATTAGAGCTGTCAAATTACTACAATATGTTATAGCTAATTTGAATTTGAAAGGGTTCAGTTTTTTTTATACACACTGCAGAACGGCAACGACAACGGCCACGGGGAAAATATTATATCTTATTGGATTCTTCTGAGCCCAATATGGCAAAATATTAAGTCGAGACTTCAATATTGCGCGAGACCGAAGGTCGAGCCTAATATTGAAGTCGAGACTTAATATTTTGCCATATTGGGCGAAGACGAATCCAATAGGAGTTTTATTATATCGAACAGAACAATTCTATAACAAAAAATGTCAATAAGCGATAAAGTAAACACAGCGAGATTAATACAGCGACAACATTACTACATATATCGGCGGCGAATTTGCTTAAATAACTAAAAAAAGTTAATAAACCTGTTTTTACAAATATGTGTGCATAAATAAACTCAATTCCATGTATGTTTAAAGGTAATTTGACCTAACTTTAACGAAAAAAATAATATTATAACTTCTAGGCTGTTGCAAACAAATCAATTTCGCGAAGACAAGTTTTCCCGCGCTTTTATAATTTTAAACAAAACTGGTGGAAAAAGCTGTATTAATGTCCCAAATTCTTTTCATTATTCTGCCATATCGTTTGTCGTATGTTTGAAATTGACAAAACATCTGAAAATTAAAGGGTTGAAAAACCATGAAAAGAGCCACAATTCGCAACTGTCCAATAGGTTCCTGTCCAATATCGTAAAATATTGGATCGGCACGTGACCCTCTCAACGATTACTGGTCGGTTAAGTGCGCGTGAGGGTATAATAAAATTGTTGATATTGTTGTATTTGAGCCAAAGTATACGTTACTACACTTAATATGCCTCTTTAAGTATTCCTGTTTCTTGCAAACGTACCCTTAAGTAAAAATAGTCCGCGAATTCAAATGAAACACCTCAAATAACATCGAACGAATTAACTGTTGCCGTAGTCATGCACCGTTAAAATGATGCAAATCACGTACTAGTTTCAACAACTACGGCATTGCACAACGCTTAAGACCATGTAATTTACATTCGCTTTTGTCTTTGAGGATTAATGCTATTGTTGATGACCACATTGCCGTTGCCGTTGCCCTTGTATTTGCCAAACTCTCTAGTTTGGCAAATACAACGGTAACATGGTCATCAACAATAGCATTGATCCTCAAAGACAAAGGAGAATGTAAATTACATAAGCGTTGTGCAACGCTATAGTTGTTGAAACTGGCACGTGATTTTCATCATTTTCACGGTGCATGACCACGGCAACAGTTAATTCGTTCGATGTTATTTGAGGTGTTTTATCTGAATTCGCGGACTATTTTTACTTAGGGGCTGTTTTAGAGAAGCAAGAATACTTAAAGAGGCAAATTAAGCTAGTAACGTATACTTTGGCTCAAGTACAATAATAGAAGCAATTCTATTTTCCCCGTTGTCGTTGCCGTTCTAGGTTGCCAAACTCTCTATTGCCCTACCTCGAATTCTGTTTGCTTCGCCGCTTCGACTTTCAGAAGAGGACATCGTATAGCATTGCAAGCCTGTTTCGAGTTCAAATGCACTAAACGACTGCCGCCAGTACTTGGACAAATGGCACGAACTACTGCAGACACTGAGAGGTAAACTTTACAGCGATGCAGGCAACGATTGGGCAATTAGCACGAGCATGACTGAGAAGATAGCTGGTAGCGGCTTGAACTTCGACGATCTTCGACGTGTGTTCGCTGAATTTGGCAAGAAAGGATTTTTTGCTATATTATCCAAACCACCAACAAGTCACCAACAATCAACAAAACCAAGAGTCACTAAAACACCACGAATTCTCTCCTCAATCCTAACGTACTTCGAACGTCAACAACATGAACAATGAGGCTTTTGACTTTGGGGGCCGTGAAACTGCGTGTAAGTCACGCAGCAGATGGACGCGCATGCTCAAATGGTAATCTTGTCGAGTTGAAATTTTATCACGTCAGCAAAAATTTCATTTGACCGCGCAAGTTTTGTAAATGCAATAACTTTTTTTACCTTCGGTCAATTTTCTGAAATTTTGTATTTTAAAAGTACTAGTCATTTATTGCAATATACTGAATTTTTAAAAAATTCTGTTAAACAGTTTTTGTGGAACAAATTTCACGTATTATCTCAAAAACTTTGTAACAAATGATAGCGATATTACATTATTAAACGACGTCTCGATGCTACAGCGTGCATCATTTTCAAGTTATAGTAATTACATATATTGCGTTGATTTTAATTAAACCGTTCGTGTCACGTTAGCAAATTATTGCGTAAGCATGCAAAATTTAAATTTATATTACGTAATAAATTACATTAAAAACATAAAACAGATTAAACATATTCCTGTCTTTCATAAATGTATCAAACATGTATACAAACAACAACAAACAAACATTCTAAAACAAAACAAACATAAAGCCCTTTAATTATAGGACTAAATATAAAGTTTTGAACGAATCGAGAATGAAGATTGAAGAATGATGCGTGGAGAATTGAAGGTTGCTTTTCAATTCTTCGAAAATGCGAAGGAAAGTATGAGTGTCTTCTATACGAAATGCTATATATTAAGGAACTATCGCCTTCCTTGAACACTCAATCGGACTCGATTCGTGTATAAATTTTATATTGATATGACACCAATATGCTTCTCATAATTAACAGTAGTTATTTATTAAAACTACGTTGTGTAGTTTAAGTTATAACTTTTACCTTGAAATTGTCTTTGGCTCGTTTATATTCAGATTCACTATATTATGATCGTGCACGTACGGGAATTCAACGATCCGAATTTCGGATTTTCAGAGTCGTGCACCTCTCTCCTCCGCAGAGCCTCCTTAAGTATTTACAAATAACTTACATGAAGTTTCCTGAATAAAAGTGAGCGCGCGTGGTGTGATGGGAAGATTGAAATGAAGTTGGGGAGGATCCGCCCGATAATGCAACGAAGTATGGTTTTTGGACCAAACTAGTTGTTTGACTTTTTTTAAACTTGAAATCGACGGAAATGTGAAAGAAATTTAAATGAATCTTCATAATCTGAGTATCGAAGTTCAATAGAGTCAATTTTATAAAGAAATGTTGCAATTAAGAAGATATTTATAATCAGATAGCTCGTATCCATTGATATTCGTTTGCAATTTCTCAATATTTTTCGATGCAAATGGACAGAAGAAGATATTGATATTGAATTCACCCCAGGATACTCAAGTACGCCCGAAGATGAAAGTCGAAAACATGTTTTAACACCCCCGAAGGTTGATCGAACTTCGCTACAAACGATGATATACGACGCCATATTGATTGCATTAACTCGCAGAGGCTTCCTTTATTTATCTCTTCCCATCACTCCTTGCGCGCTCACTTTTCCCTCACTAGAAATTTCATGTAAGTGTCTGCAGGGGAGAGAGGTCGTGCACCAAGAAAAATGCTTTAACTAAACTAGCAAAAATGCCCAGAGTTAGACACAATGCAAAATCCCTAGAAAACAGGTACAATTCGTTGAAAATTTTAACGAAATTATTTGAAACATTTTGCCCACTCCACGAAAGGCCGCCATTAATTTTGAAAAAGATAAATTGGGTTTTATTAGACAGCTCATTAATATTCTATTTTGTGGCTATCAACGACGATCGGAAATCCGTCATCTGACATTCAACATGCGTGCCTTATACTCGCCTAGGCACAGTGCCCCAACGAGTAATTAACTATTGCCATCTCTTTTGATCCACAGTTTTCCATTGTTGAAAACTATATCAAACGAAATAAAAGTATGCCTGTGTTTGTGAATTAGTTCATAAATTCCAGTCTTCGATCCGTCCTGACCATGTAGCTTAGCCGGTATAGCGCATCGATCTAGTAATTCGAAGGTCGCGTGTTCGAAACTCAGCCGCGGCAGACAAAGTTATCTGCTTGCGAGCTGTCTGGAAATTATGATATATCTCACTCGAGAGCATTTTCTCCTTATGATATTACCGAGTGAACAATAACACAAAAATGCAAAGCCCACTTGAGAATTCTGTCCCCATTACACTCTGCAGATGTCTAGATGCGTCGATGCCTTAATCGTGTTGCACTACGTACATGCGCTTGGTGAGAGCACGGCCATATGTATAAATACGAATGTGTCATGCATCTAGACGTGTAACCACGCTGCAATGACGAGGCGTTGAACGCCGAAACATGCATGTATATATGATATCCTGCTCATCAGCACTACATGCCCGATGAGGCCCAAATGGCCGAAACGGTAACGTCTGTATAGTTATATATTTTCCCATACTAAGATTTCTTTTCTTATATATTATGAATACGAAAACGTTAGATGAACATGAGTTTTAAAACTAAAGTACAGAATTAAGCACGAAATTAAATTTAAAGTACTGTTAAGTAGCAGAATAGCTCACGTTCTTGTTAGGCCTATATACGTACGATCGATTGACTTGCTGCAAATCTGACAAAATTAAACATTTCTAGTATACAATAAGCAAACATGTTTACGTGAAGTAAATATTATTCTAAGACTAAACGTATATTAACAGCATGGCCGATCTTTTCTTATGCGCCACGAGTACACTACATACAATACCAACGCATATAAAACGTGGTATTTTCTTTTACCAAACTTAATATTCTATAAAAAAAACTAATTACTTAATATCCCACGATAAGGACGAAAGAGCAGAGATCTCCAGATGTTGAACTGTCTATATCTTGCAAATGTCGATCCTCATTTCTACAAGAGCAATGAAAAGAAAACCTTAATTCACTTATAAAGTCAATTTAATTGCTGGATCCTATATATATTCGGAATCAGTGGTTAATAATATACACTTCCGGGGGCTGTCTCGCAGAATTTTGGAACTAATACGCATGCAGTTTCTAAAGAGCTAAAACGGTAGCCCTTCGTGTGGACGCCTATATGAACTCTTTTTCAAGGAGTCATTTTTAATCAAATTTTTCATACAATATGAAAAATATCATGCAACAATAAACCAAATCTATGTAATTATATACAGTGTAATTATAGCCGATTCAACACTTCGGAGATTCCGCAGGAAAGATAAAGTTATCAAAATTGCGAGCCAAATACGATTCAATTAGATAAAGTGCCCGGTCGAATTCAGACATTTTGAACTTTGGTGATAATGCTAAAGTGTATTAAAAATACTCATATGAAAAAGGTATCAAATTTCTCAGTAGATAGGTGTATTAATATTCATGCGGTTGAGTTTAATAGAATATTTTAATACAGGCTATAATTAGTTTAACGTAATGTTTATTTCCCTAACGAGTTTGACATATTTTTACAAATAGCAAATCACATGCGAGATTCAAATTCTGAATCTAATCAAGTGTGGAAGTGGGATTTGCAATCGATGTGGCCAGACGCTCTCCGTTCTCGCTTCTCGTTTATTTCGCCTCGCAAAGAGCCTCTGGCACCATGGTAGCTCCGTGGTTGATTTTCCTAACTATACGTGCATTATTACGTTATTGCGGTAATGATGGACATTACGGCCTTCAGGGCCGTAGCGAAGGGGGTATGGGGGGGGGGGGTAACCCCCAACTTTTTTAAATTAACATATTCGGAAAATCAGGTTGGTCATTCGGAAAATTACGGCAATAATAGTATAACAAAATTTTAGTTGTTTAATTAATTAAACAGAGAAAATATTATCAAATTGTATTGTCAGTATCATAAACTGATTTACAAAATCACGGCATTTACATGGATAACATTTAACAAATCGTAGATCGGTAAATGTTTTTTGGTTTATTACTTCCCAGGGCTGTAGCAACGGGGGGGG